TTTTACCTGTCCCTGAAGAGTTTCCTTATATGTATATGTTGATCAGCACTTTGCTCTAGTGGAAAACTCTGGAGATCCCTGAAATTCACTTTGTAAGCAACAGCTGCTTTGGTTTTCCTGGCTTATCATCTCCATCTTCCATCTCAGGGAGCTTACTGATTTCCTTTTAGGTTTCCCCTCCCTTTGCTACAGCCTAGAAACTTTCTCAGGACAATAAATGGGCGTGATTGCAGGATTCACTTCTTTTGTTTCCCATTCATCCCATTACCTTTTTCACTGTTTGATAACCTGTGTCTTAAAAACCATTGCTTTATCCATTTAAAAAAAATTTTTTTAATGGGGGGTTGCTTCAGATAGGAAATTAAATCTGGTACTGGTGACTCTTTCTTTTCATCTTTGTTGGAAGTGGAAATCCAAAGCTTTGATTGGTTCTTTCTTATCTTGCAAAACTTCACTTAAATGTTTCTTCCTTGGATAGGCTGTTTCCTGACAGTTCTCTCAAAAATAGGTCTATCTTTCCCTCCTTATCTCATTTTCCTCTGTCATAGCATTGTAACCTTCTAAAAAGTATAGCAGTATATCTATGAATTTCTTTATCTGTCATTATCTATTATAAATGAAAGGAAAATAACATAATTGTTTCACTCATCACTGTTTATTTAATGTCTAGAAAAATGTTTGACACAGGAGATGCTCAATAAATATTTTTTGAATGAATGAATTATTTTTCTCAATTTATGTTACCATTCTGTTTGGAGTTTTTTTGCAGAGTTTTGTTCCTTCATGGCTTGCTTATTTTTGTTTTGTTTTGTTTTACTTTTCATTCTTGATTTTCTGTTATTTTAAAATGTTTATTTACCTCTCTTTGCTAGTTCTTTCTTATTTTAATCATCTCCTTGTCTTTCTTTTCTATTTTTTATTTGTGTTTTTGGCCTCTCTTTATCATTCTCCATACTCTGAGAAAAAAAACTCAGTGAAAGTGGGCAAACATTCACAGAAAGGCCTAGACTCTCCAAAGAATCCCTTGTTATATATCTAGAAATTGAAACACAAGCAAATCTTTCTGACAATGCTCTATCCTAAGCCTACTTTTCAAACTTCTCTTGATTCAAATGGCATACTATCAGTTTTTAACCACCCAAATTTCTGTAATTATCACAAGCAGAAATAGCAGTAGGCAATGAGGCAGCAGTTTAAGTTTTAGCCCCAAGTCTTCTATAGATTGGTTATAATTCTGGGAAAGTTATATATCCTCTCTAAGGCTTGGTATCATCTTTTAAATTTACAGAAGTACATTAACCCAGAAAAGTTTCACAACTCTCTAAGGTAGGTAATAGATTACAATTTTTACTTTATATATGAGAAGAAAGAAACTCAGAGAAATTAAATATCTTATTTAAGGTTACAAATGTATTAAGTAGTCAATAAGTAGACAAGATAAAACTTGATTTAAATCTTTTGACCATATGTCTGCTGTTCTTTCCAAATCATTTCACTGCTTCTACAAGTTATAATCTGTGAAACATAAAATTTTACTATTCTATGATGTGAAAGATTTGCAGATAAGTTTAGGAAAGGCAGCTCCTTAGAGCCTCATCTATAAGATGACTAGTGAAAAAGTTACTGATATTGTAAACTGAGAAAAAAGTGGTTTCTGATTATAGAATAATGGTTTGCCTTCCAATGTTCCCCAAACTCTAAAAGACACTTAGGGACAGGTCCATACAATAAAAAGCCTGTGGAGTCAGTACTTTAGTGTCAGTTAGGCATAATTTTGTTCCTATTTATTGTGTGACTTTGAGAGACTAATTTCATTTTTTTTAACTCTAATTTTTCTCATCTGTAGAGAAATCTACTAATAAATATCAAAAAGTTATAATAACCATTAAATAATATAACATCGAGTCAGATTTCCGAGTTCAGTTCCAGAACAGAATAGAATAGACAATCAATGGAATTGAGTTGTCTGCCTAAATACAAACAATGCAGATATACTTTTCTGAAAGTTAGGAAACAACTCATAAAAATGCTGTGGAGTCTTTATTATAATAAAATTAGATTGTAGAAATATAACAAGATTATATTATCTAATAGTTAAACTTCAAGACAAAGTTTTATAAAATTTATTTTTGAAAACAATTGCAGAATACACTTTCAAGTCATTAAAGAATCAGTCTCTTTTCATAATATATGATGTTGATCATTAAGAGCTGACCTTGAACAATTATAATGCTATAAGAAAGCGATTGGCAGTAGTGGAAAACTGTCAGGGGAGAGGGGGTGGGATTGGCAGTTGAGGGAAACTGCTAGGGGAGGGAGGGTCATACCTCATCAACAAGGATACCTGCATGATCGATGTTTATATACCTAACCCTGAATTGTACCCCATATCTCTATAATAAAAAAAAAGAAAAGACTTTAGGAAATTTGATTTTAAATCTCAGGACTTGTCTGAGCCACCAAGGAGCCCACTGGAATAGACATGGAAGATCTCTTTAAGTCCTTCTAATGACTTGATTTTACTTTTGTCTTGATACTTTAGGTTTTTGGTTAGAAGAAATTATGATTACCTTTGCAAAATTCTAGTGAATGCAGTAAGTAGTTCTTTCATTTGTCAGATTAAGAAATTCCCTTGGATGTTTGTATGAGAGAAAAAAAACCCTGCTGCCATGCTCTAACTGTCTATCATTATTATTTATTTAATGATCTTATGACTTATGCTGGCTGTAGACAATATAAAGAATTTTGGTCTTCAGATTCTTGTCATGCATTTGGAAGGGTAGAGCATAAAAATAAAAATAAGTAGCCATACAGACGAATCTAGGCCAAGTGTCAACTAAGTGATTCAGATACGATTGTATACAAGCCTGTATGCTGTAGTCATTTAAATAAAGGAGCTGACACAGCAGGACTCTGATGGCAGCCGGAAAGGTTTACTACATATATAAAAGGCAAAGTTTTGCTTTACTATATAAAGTGAAATTTGAGCAGGACATTTCCAGAGAGGGGATGATATGAGTAAATCATAAGGGTAGTAAGACCAAAAAACATGGCTTAAGAGGAATGTTTTTAAGGAGAATAGTAGAAAATTCATTTGAAGATGTAGACAGGAATTATATTTTAGATAATATATTTATGAATTAAGTTTTAAAAGCTTTCTTTTTTTATTCTGAAGGAAATATATTATTGAGCATTTCTCAGAACTTCTTTAAACTTCACATGATGGTTGGTGCTGTAGAATTATGATGAACTAAGAGCTTGTTTCTATTCCTTATCCTCAGTCCCTAATTTCTCTTCTTACCATAAAATTATTACATGTCTATTATGGAAAAATCAGAACATACAGTAAAGCTAAAAGAAGAAATTTATAAAATCCATAATCTCATGTTCCAGAGACTTTTCTATCTCTTTATACACACACGAGCATGCACGAGCACACACACACACACACACACACACACACGATGTTGGGAAATCCTGCCTTCAAAAGGTTAAATTGAGATTCAGAAGTCTGAATATGTGTGTTAAACCACCTGGAGATAATGTATAGAAAGGTTTTGGCTGACATTCTTTATGTGGCACAGAGGATGGGTATGAAAGAATGGTATAGGGCAGAGGTCAGTACATTTTTTATGTAAAGAGTAAGAGAGTAAATATTTGAGGCCTTGTGGACCATATGGTTCTGTTGCAACTATTCAATTCTGCCATTGTAATGTGAAAGCAGTCACGAATAATTAGATAGATAGGCAGATAGATAGATAGGCTGCATTCCAATAAAACTTTATTTTAGAAACTGACATCTCATATAATTTTCAGATGCCAGGAAATACCATAGTCTCTAGTAAGTTTCTGTTTTAGGAACAGCAGAAGCCAATATATAGGTAGATGCCATGTTCTCACATAAGGCAATAGGAACAGAGGCAGTGGAATTCACCCCAAAAGAAGGTCCTTTGCTAGAGTAGAAAACTATTTATGAGCAAAAACAGTCACTTCTGGGCACTCCCAGGAAAATTTTAAGGATTTCACAAGGATGGATTTTCTTAAACTAGGGCTACAAACCAGTAAAGTTTTAGATTTTATAACTGATGTAATTCCATTAGTATCTATGAGCTGGTAAGGTCTGAAGAAATCCAGGTTAAAAGCAGCATGTGTGAGTGTGTATAGATGTATATTTTATATAAATATAAGGCCATATTTTATATATTGTTAAGCAACTTGCTTTTTAAACATAATATACTGACTAACATATTGCAAAGATTTTTTTCTTGTCAATAAATATTTACCCATAGCATCACTAGTGTCAACTGCATCTCTAGGTATTTACACCCTCACTCCCTACACTTTCTACAACAGTTTTTAGAATCGCTTATTCTAGCCATCTTCAGATCTACATTTGCTACCATGATAAATGTTAACCTTATTCGCACTTTTATTTTTTAATCTTAGTTACCCTACTTCACAGTATTTGGTACCTAAAATCACTATAGAAATGTGTGTTTGCGTATTCTATTTTCATAAAAGGCATCAGAAATTAGAAATATTTTGTTATCTCCAAGATATACAATATGTAAAAGAAGCAAATTGTGTAGCACTGGTTAAGATAATGTTATAAAATGACCAAAAGCATAAGATTTCCAAAATAAGAAAACATTAACTTATTATTGACATCGGTATGCCAAGTTTATTAATTACAAGGACACTGTGGCTCTTCCTCCTCAAAACAAAAGACAACGACTGTTGCACTAATAGAACATGATGTGCATGTTCAAATAAACACTGAAACAATGAGTGTGATTGAATGGATACATGACAATAATGATTTGAAACATACATGTAATAATTTTTATTAAAATTATTAGGTTACACTCCATAACAAAACAAAAATTTGCATGCATGCTGAATGTGTTTTTAAAAAAACACATTACTGAGCACCAATATGTGGACTTAACTCAAGCATTACGACTTGAAAACGCTATTTGCCTAATCTTTATAGAACTTACTCTGATAGGAAGTACGGATCCGTTTCGTTAAATCAGGATAAAAGTTAGACAGGCCACGCATGCAAAAGTTGTCTTTGGAACATGCCAGAACACCAGCATCAGCAGCAGGCAGAGGGAAGAGAAAAATAGTCTAAAGTGAAAGGAAGTGATATCATACCAGAATCTAGAACAGCCAAGATGAAGAAATTGCAGCAAGATTAGGTAATCAAATTAGAGAGAAGATATTAAAAAAATAAATCAATTAGAAAGCAAGAGGTGATAGATGAATGATGAGAATGTTGCAGAAATTTTATTCAATCAAATATCTTACACAAGTAGATAGCATAGTTTTCTTATGTGTTTTTAGAAAGTATACTTGTTTGGCTTATAAATAATATGTACAAATTCATTAATGTCAAAACGATTATCTTTACTCCATCAATTAGAAAGAAAGCAAGGGATTTTAGTGCTTAATAATTTGTTTTTGTAATGTAAAGTGAATACTCATTGTAGTCATCCTATACACTAAATATAAACTGAGTTTTTCATCACAGTTTTTCCTGATTTTAACATCATCAATATTCTAAGCTCTAGTAATAATTGTTGTGTCAACAAGTTTGTTAACAGTTGTACTATTTGTCAAAATATATTCTTCTTCACCTCACTGTATATATCCAGCAAGTAATTTCGATACTGTCATAGGATTCACAGCTTTTCTGACTAAATTAGTGCTTTCATCATTGCAAACAGTACCTCTTACCACCTAACACATTCCTACCATGGAGTTCATGAATTTCAACTTTCCCTTTCTGAATCATAAGGGAACCTTAGGATACATGTATGCTCAATTTATCTTATTCTATCTTCCTTTCAAAAGCCAGTAGTGATTGGCGCAGAACCTATAAAATTTGAAATTTCCAACACTCCTAGAATATTGCTAAATTGATATCCCTAACAATAAAACTCACAGGCTCTAAAGGAGGTATTTTGGGTCCTTGAAAACTGCATAAATTAGCAATTTAGAAATGACTGAGGTTTAAAAAAGAAAGGTTAGAAAAGAAGGAGAATTTTACTGTATTAAGTATCATTTGTTCCAAAGGAAAATTGATTTATTATCAATTATTATTTATTATATTCAGATGTAAATTCTCACACACCTGTTATTTGGAAAATAACACCTACCATCATGTGTCTTTTAAATTTTTTATTAGAAAATATTTTTTCATGGGTCTATTTAGTAAAGTCTACAATATCATTTTAAATAAAACTAGAAAATTTTAATGTATTGTCTAAAATAACACACAATACTATAGAAGTGTTTCCATGTGCAAACCTTTTGCTTAATTTTTACCAGTGAGACTGTGTCAGTAAACAGAAAATACACACATTTTTGGCAGTGTTTACAAAGCCAACTATTTGGATATATACCAAAATTTCAGTAAGACTGGATAATTTGACATAGCAAAGGTTGGCATTAACTCCTAATTAGTCTTAAGTTTCTTCTCTTTTATAGTTATATTAATCAATTTATTGGTCCTGCCAAGAAAAATGTTACCTTTCATAGCATTTAAAAAATGTTAGTGAACAATGTTTATTGCATTCATGAAAATATCTCCAGGAAAATCATCATCAAACAAGGAAAGGTGACAGCTACAATAAGAAATTAGTTTAAAAAATTAAAAGTAGTGAATGACCTAAAATTATATTTTCAAAGAGGTCAGATATTTTAGAAGAACAATAATTTGTTCAGATATTTTAGAACAATAATTTGTTCAGATATTTTAGAAGAACATTAATTTGTTTAACACAACCATTACAGCAGTTTTTTCAACTAGAGAGCCCTAATTTTCATGGCAGTTTTACATTTAATAGTTTCTCATTTTCTGTTATTTCTTAGGAATTCAACCTAAGAAAGCTGAAAGGCCCTCTAAGCAAATTGAAGGTTAAAAACTCCCCATTTTAATAACTCTTTTAATAACTCTCACAGTTTCTACCCAATTTACTTAACTTTCATGGTATTGTAAATTATGTTGAGTTTATTTTGCCATGCATTTGAATAGCATCACAGAAGAAGGACTAGAAATCTAAAAGTAAGAAAAACAGATGAACAAATAAGGGTTCATGACCCATCTTGTTTTATCTCCTACCTGCAATGAACTGCTTGTTTTTTCGAGGAGACCGTGGTTGTCGCTGGTATAGGTCACTTGATCTATATAGGTCAATGGTCCCCATGCTTAACAGTACTGTCTTCTGTATAAAATCCACCACAGCTAACCCATTGCAGTTCCCAAATGCAACTCTGAGAGAGAAAAAAATATGCAACTAGAATGTATTACAAAAAGAATAATTACTTTTATTTTTAAACTAAAAATAAGATTATTGGAAAGTTATTCCTTAGGGTTGGGGAAATTAAGCAGTGATTTGTGTGAAGTCAGGAAAGATGCTTTGTCTTTACACTAGATAGAATGACCATTTACTGCAAAAAATAGTATTATCTGCAGTCACATGTTATCAGCAGTTTTATCATATTAGTAGTGATTACCCAGTCTGCTCTTTAACTTAATCTTATATTTTTACAGAAGAATCATGCAAATCTTTTTCCTATGCTTAGGTATATAATTAGATGCCTTTTTCAAATGAAATTATAATTGTTAGGCTTCAGATTAGTTATCTTCTTAAAAAGAGAACAATAAAAATTAGTGTCATATCAAAGGTTTGATATCATATTAGATATAAAATACAAAAAATTAATTTTTTCTCATTTTTTTGTTCTTTGTCCTACTTATTAAAAGATAAAGACCATTTGATTGATTTCTTAATTAAACCTCCTGATAAGCTAAAAAAGATAGCTCTCTTAAGTAGGCATTTTAACCACCATAACCATTAGGCATACATTAACTCTCCTTTTTCTCCATTTACAACATACATTCTAGCTGAGCAATTGTAAGTCTGTGCTTTTTGATTCCTAAGCTAAATATACACTAGTTGTATAAATGCTGTTTTGTTTGTTTTATCAGTCCCAAGTTGTTTCATTACTTAGATTAAAACTTGTTTACAAACCATCTGCTTTCTTTCAATCTGGTTCTTTTCACTTTACCATACAAATTAAAAACAAGAAAAGACAAGACAAAAACCACTTCTACCCATACTAGATATTTTGCTAGTTCACACAGGTTTACATCTTCCAGTAAGACAAACTTTGGAAACTAAAAAAAAAGTATTGTTATACTAGTCAGAAGATCTCAGTTTGATTCCTATCTCTAACATTTATAGCATATAGGATTGAGAAAAATTAATGATTGTAGCTGGGCTTAGGGTTGGGTTAGGAAACTAAGATTACTTTATAGTAAGAATGTTACTACTACATTATCTAGTTCACAGATCTTTTATGAGTATCAAGTCATAAAAGTTTTTAAAGTACTTTCAAAATTTGCTATGCAAAAAAGCATTGATATTATTATAAGTGTGATATACACATTACAAATTATGAGTCAATATCCTTAAACTTTTCATGTTAGAATAAACCTAACTATGTCTGCTTGCAGACATGATATAGTTCCTAAATGCAATACTGAAAGAAAAAAGTTTAGGGAAGTAGAACTTATGGCAGCAACCATTAATAATTATTTTTGTCTTGTAATTAAAAACAGAATTACTAAGAACTTATACCTTAGGGTTGAGAAACTCAGGTAGTGATTGTTATAAAGTCAGTAAAGAGATGAGATTTAATTTCCTACTTTAAACTATTAGAAAATTGGAAAAATATATTAAACAACTTTACATATTGGTCAACAAGCAACATAGGAGAGGATGAGAGAAGAAAAACAATTAAGGTAATATACCTCACAAATATTCTATTTTGGTGACTGGAGATATTTCTCAGGTGAGGGTACAGGAAACTGAAACTCAAAGAGAGATAAATGAACTTGTTGAGGTAGAGGCAGAGATCAAAGACTGATACAGCAAAAATAGCTAGAACTAATGAGGCAAAATACTAGAGAGAAGAGAGCTTCACAATGGTTCCCTTGAGACTTTGGCTATGTACTAATCTGTGTATATATGTGAAGAAACTACCCAAGGCCTGGGAAAGAACCACAAAAACATAAGGCAGAACAATTCCCAAGACTCACGCAAGGCTGAGAATTTTTCATGTTACTACCTGTGAAATTGTAGGGACCTTCTGAAACACGGAACAGAAGATATAGGGGTGTCACTTCCAGTAGTAGGACAAATAATTACAAACTAAGGGCTTTTCAAGAACTATTCTCTAAAAACTTTAAGTAACTTAATCGTCTTCCACAAAAAATCCAACACTATTGAAAAGAATGCCAGCCGGGCTCGGTGGCTTAGCCTGTAATCCCGCGCCTTTGGGAGGCTGAGGTGAGTGGATTGCCTGAGCCCGTGGGTTTGAGACCCACCTGGGCAGCAAGACCTCATCTCTACAATAAATAAAAAAATCAGCTGGGTGTGGTAGCGCATGCCTGTAATTCTGGCTACTTGGAAGGCTGAGGCGGAAGGATCGCTGGAGCCCAGCAGGTCGAGGCTGCGGTGGCCGGGAGCGGACACTGCACTCCACTCTGGGCGACAGAGTGAGACTCCAACTCAAAAAAAGAAAAGAAAAGAATGCCACAAAGTACTATTAAAATGTAAAATGCACAATGTCAGTATATAAAAAGTAGCAGGCATAAAAAGAATCAGGAAAATATGACTGAAGAGCTTTTAAAAGCATATTTCAGGTAATCAAGAAGGTTGGCAAAACATGAGTGTAATAATGTAAAAAAAAAAAATGGAAGATATAAAAAAGCCTCAACTCAAAATTCTAGAGATATAAATACTGGGGTACCAAAAAATGTATACACATTTAAGAGATGTTATGTATGTATTACTTTTTGAAGTTGAATTGAATTACTGTAGCAATGTGTAGTATGATGTTCACTCAAAAGATGGCATTAATAAAATGAATGCTAGTATCACCATGTGACAGGCAGGACAAAGAAAATGGCAGAATCATATTTGTCATTCGAGGAGTGCAAGATCGTTTTGAAGTTGTATCTGAAATCTGAGACATTGTGGAAATACAATGACATATGAAACAGAACCTCCAACATGCCTAACAATTACACATATTCATAAAATTTGAAACGGATGGTAGTGTGTGTGCTGTGTACAACTGAAGATCCAGGAGGTCTCACACAGCTAGTCCTGCAGTAGTTTGCTGTAATTAGAGCTCTCTGGATGCTGATGGCAACTACTTTGAGCACCCCTTGTAATTGCAGAAGTCAAATGTGACTTGTATTCATCTTTTGTTATCAGTATATATTGAGTATTGCAATTTTAATACAGTTTTTTCCCTTCTTAAAATGTATATGCATTTTTTGGCACCCTCTGTATACCAAAAATAAAAAAATAATAATCTGAATATTAGATGTTACAGCAGAAAATTATAATTGCTAGCGTCTGAATGTTTGTGTCACCTCAAAATTCATATGCTGAAACTTAACCTTCGAGGTGATTGTATTAAAATGGAGCTCTTATAAGTGGAAATAGGGCCCTTATGAAAAAGGCCCCAGAAATTTGCCTTGTCCCTTCCACCATGTGAAGACACAGCTAGAAGATGCTACTTTTGAGGAACAGACCCTCATTAGACACCAAATCTACCTGGATATATTGGACTCTTCAACCTACAGAATTATGAGAAATAAATTTCTGTTTCTTATGTTATGTAACTTATGGTATTTTTTGTTTACAGTGGTCCAAACAGACTTAAAGAAATAATTAAAAATACCTAAAATAAAATAAGAGAGAAAATATTTTTTTTAAAAAGTATAATTGGAGTTTTAGAAAGAAAAAACCAGGGGAAACCATATTTGAAGAAATAATAGACAATTTAACCAAATGTAGCCAAATTTGATGACAATATTAAGCCTACAATTACAAGAAGCTCAAAGACCCTAAGAAGAATAATAATAAAGAAAAATACAAAAACATTATAATCATATTGCTGAAGAGAACTGGTAATAGAGAGAAAATTTTAAAAGCAGACAGAAAAAAAGATGTATTTCTTACACAGCGAGAAAAGGTAGGAATAATTAAATCCCTCATCGGAAACTATACAAACCCAAGGACAATAGAGTGGCATCCTTAAAGTAACATACAAAAATAGTTTGTAGCCGGGTTTGGTGGCTCAGCCTGTAATCCCGCACCTTTGGGAGGCTGAGGTGAGTGGATTGCCTGAGCCCG